GAGCTTTGCAGGTCATGTCTCATCCTCAGTTCTCAGATTGTCAGAGATATTGATCAGATACAGACTGCAAAGGGCAACTCCTGCAAGTTGTATCAGAGGATAAAAAGCCTCATTTCCTCTGGAGTCACTCTTGTAGTTGATCCAACCTCCAGAGTCCCATGTAGCTGCTGAATGCCCTGGCATGGTGGCCCTGCTACCAGCAGGATGCAATTGAATCTTCAGATTTCTTCAGCACAGAAGAGCAGCAGCTCTAATCATAGGGCTATCTATTCTGAGAGATTCTGTCTTCTGGCAGATTCCAGTGGAAATGGTTAGTAAACAGATCTGGGTTCGGGTTTTTATTCCACAATGCAAAACAATTATGAATGCCTCAGAAATCAACAACCAGTAGCTTTTTAAAGCACTGCATCCTGAAGTCATCAGTATTTAAAATATTTTAGAAGAAAAATGGACCCTGTGTTAAGGTCTGCATCCTATTTCATTCCCAAAACCCATTCAACTAAGAGATACCCACCAACTTGACTGACAAATCACTTAGATCAATTCAAACCTGCCACTAAAACTTCAGATTCCAATTCCAAAACCAGAGGTCCCTTCGGAACTGAGCTGTGCCAGCTGTACCTGTGGTTTAATTAACATTTTATCAGTGCCTGTAACACGAGCTCACTTTTTACAGTGCATCTTCACCAACCATCTGCCTATCAGACACAAATGTCACTGAAGCAGCAGCCTCTCAGCTCACTTCATCTCTGTCATTTCTTGCAGGTCCTGTTGCTAGGACAAAGTTGCACCTACAAAAACATGTCATGTCTGCAGTAGGAAGTTGAGGTCTTAAACCACCACATTGTTGACACAGAGAAACCACAGCCCAAAGCATCCATGCACAGAGAATCAGTGCAAACAAAGCCCAATACTGAGAAATGCTCTGTCACCTCAGAAGCCAAATCTGGGGCTGGATGAGCAGAAGCAGGTTACTGTGAATTTCAATTTACACCTTTTGATCAATGTACAAAACCGAGAATTTTTTGGGTAGGAAGGGTAAGAGTGAAAAACACGTGTTTAAAATTTTCTTCTGGGGCAGGTAGTCCGAATTTGATGTTACAAGCAAGCAAGGATCATCTCAGGTAGTCATTTTAAACCCAATACATCAGAACTTCACACAGAGCAGTCCTAGAGCTGTGCCACTGCTTTGCCAGCTGCAAGGAGGGTTGAGGACAGCTGGCACCAACTCTGTCCCTCAGGTGGGAACTGCAGGAATTGCATACCCAGCCTGGGGAGAGCAGGGATTGCAAATGTTAATTAACAGTTACTGGTACACCACTGTCACTTTGCTGTTCCACTCCCAAAGGCCAGGGCACCATGCCCAGAGATTTCCCCTGGATATAATTTTAGTATTCAAGAATCATCAAAAGCACATCAAGTCTCTTTTCAGACAGCTGTAGAAAGGGTCACTAACAAAAGAGCAGCACAAATACAGAACTTAATTTTGCCACCCTATAAAGACAAAACAATAAAGAATCTTGCACGTGGCAGATACTGAACACTGAGTCAGGCAACTTCAAACTGAAGTGAGAAGCAGTCAAACCACTGATCAAAAATTATGCAGGTAAGATTGAAGTGTGAACTGTGTCTGGACAAGCCAGGAAAGAAAAATCACAACAACCCAAACTTCTGTAAATCACCTCATTTTATGCATTGTTTATTCAAAAAATTTGAATAAAACAAAAGCTTTTATGCCACAAGCACACAGGCACCACCAACTTCTTTGATCTTCTCCTCTGCTCTCCTACTGAAGAACTTTGCTTTCACAATGACAGGCTGCTTGGGCAGCTTCCCCTTGCCCAGCACTTTGTAGTAGCCCTAGAAAGATTTAAAATAGAAGTTCAGTGTTTGTAATCAGCTTGCAGGCTCCTACATTCAGGCCTGTTAGCACAAAATGATGATCACCAACACCTCATCCACTCAATTCATTACATTAAAAGGACAATCATGACATGAAAACAATTAACAAAACAGCTGCTGAAGTCACTGGAAGTGAGAAGTGGGTCCTGAGTGGCCAGCAGGGGAGGCAGAACATCAGCACCTGGCAGAGCAGTGTCCCTGATTCGGTGGCTGGCTGAGACACAGGACATCACAGCCAGTGAATATGGATCAGATGTTTCTGTCCGAGAACTATAGCACACCAAGACAACCAAACATGTGGAGATGTGACTCTAGTCTCGAGGGTGGACAGGTGACAATGTGAGACCGGTTCCACCATGGTTTTGTTCCTTCAGGACCATTTCAAACACGCCATCTTTCACCACCTACCCAAAGGAGGGCGGTAGCTGTCCACAAACACACACCAGTACCAGAGTAAGTTCTTACAGGGAAAAATGTAACAGCCACAGTGCTTCTGTAACTACTCACGGCCTGCTGAACCTCTCAGCACTGAAGCTTATCTGCAGTTCAGCATTTTCCCAGTGGGACAGGCCCAGCTCAGGCACCCACAGGAGAGCAGGAATGCTGGGACTGAGTCCGAGCAGGAACTTACCGAGCGCACAACATCAATGACCGGGGCCAGTCCGGCCTCGTTCTTGGCGTAGTTGAGCCTCGTCTGTTCGCTGACCAGCGTCCACAGCTTGTCCAAGTTGACAGTGGGACAGAACTTCTGGTTTCTTTTCAAGTGATAGTGCCTCATGCCTACTTTCCCAAAGTAACCAGGGTGACTGTGGAAGAAACACATCAGATCACATTTTTAATTCACCCTGAACAAGCAGAACACTGAAACAAGCATCTTACTAAATCAAAGTAGCCAAAATGTCACAACACACCTTTTTTCATATTAATATGAGTACAATTTAGGTGTAATAACGATTAGTATCCAAACCAAGGAAAAATTACTTTCTCTGTAAGTGTTTCTACCCGCTCAAACTCAGAGCTCAATCCCCCTCACTGCTGAGTCTCTATTTCCAGGGAAGTCCCACCTCCATGGACATGGGGAGGGCTCCCTGCCTGGGAAGTTCTGGCACTGCTGTCACTAACCCGGTGACTGGCTGAGCCAGGAAGGGCACAGCCAGTGAATAGAGATTAGTGGTTCCTGTCCGAGGACTCCAGCACACCAGGACCACGGGCAGGGCCCAGATGTGACTCTATAGTCTCGGGAATCAGCACCTCTCACCTTTACCTGATGCAGCCAACAGGATGCAGTTTGCATTTAACATCACATTCTGAATTTGCTGTGTGCACTGTTAAGCAGGGACCACACTGTAACAAGCAAATTTGATCAACTTTACCTAATGCTGCACTGAACTGCAAGATGCCAAGTGAAAAGGCCTTTGATTTTAGGGTAAGAGGAGACATGAGCGGTTATACTGCCACTTCCCATTAAAGGACAAAAACACGTAGGATTGCAGGAAACTTTGTGTATTCACATATAAAAGTCAGTTGGTTCTACCTCAGGACCATGCATGTTGGCAGTAGATATTTAAAACGTTAGCTTACTATTTATCAAAGTTAATCCTGTGATGGTGCAAACCACCAGCATTACCACGTCCTCCAGGATGCTTCCTGTGTTTGCCTGAGAAAAAAAGTTTTAAGGTTGTTACATTAGTATTACACATACACTTTCAATGTCAACTGAAACTAACTATTTTATCTTGTGTTGTGACAAAACTGAAATGACTAGAGTTGAAAGGGAGACTGCATTGCCCTGTAAGTTTAAGATGCCGCATATCCAGTACTGAGCAGTAAGCAATGCTGAAGTTATAAATCCAGCGAGGGTAAAACGTGCAAGACTTAATCAGCCCATCTCCGTGGCAGCTGCCCCAGCACGCTGCGGCCTCCACCACTGCTCGCTACTTCCCTCGGTGCCGGAGGGCCCCTGCAGCCACAGCCCCGTTTTTCTGGGATCCGGGAAGAGCAGCAGCATCCCCTCAGCGCTGGGGAAGCCCCGGCAGGGCCGCGCCACCGAAGGCCCAGAGCCCCCGCGGCCGCCTCTCCACTCACCCACGCGGCCGTGGCCATGGCTGACGTGTCCTCTCAGCTTTCGGGTCTTCCTTAGCCTGGAGGGCTGCGGGGAAGGGGGAGAGCAGCCGTGAGTGAGGCGGGCAGCGAGCGCCAGAACCCCGCGCCTGCCTCGGGGCCCAAGCAGCCGGGCGCCATGGCGGACCGGCCTCCCCGCACCGCTCCCGCCCGCCGCGGGCTCGGAGAC